GAGAGAGAGAGAGAGAGAGAGAGAGAGAGAGAGAGAGAGAGAGAGAGAGAGAAAAATGACATAGAGAGAGAGAGAAACTATAACGCGTCACTGCGCAGATATATTTGTTCGCGTTAGTCCGAGTACGTGCTCAACGAATTCCCCCCCTGGATCCGGGGACAACCGTGTGGTCGTGGAAACGCACGGCGGCTGCAGCAGCAACAGCCGACGAGGCAGCGCAGCGGTCGACTAGCGGCTGCCAGCGACAGCGTCGACTAGCGGCTGCAGCGGCTGCAGCGACAAGCGGCAGCCAGCGGCAGCGTCGACTCTCTCTCTCTCTCTCTCTCTCTCTCTCTCCCTCTCTCTCTCTCTCTGTCCTTTCTCTCTCCCAACTCTTTCTCTCGAGTTACCGCAGCCAAGAAGCCCGCGCAATGTAGGCGCGCCGTGTTGCCCTCCTAAGCGACTGCAATCAACTGCAATCAACTGCAATCAACTGCAATCAACTCTTGCCGTGCCGATTACCGCGAGAATTTATCTCTCGCGCGCGCGGAACACGGCACACTCGCGTACGTCCGGCACCGTAGACTGACACCGCAAGTCGGCGCCAATCGACGGTGCTCGTCCGCGCGGGGGGCGTTCGGTGTCAGTCTAAGCACTCGCGCGGTAACAGACGACGGCAAAAGTTACATTAGTTACGTGACCGACGTACGGCGCTGCTGCTGCCACCTCGCGGCAACGTGACTCACGAGCCGTGATTCAGAATCCCTCTATACACGTCTGAGTCACCTCCCGTCTTCCGCCGCTCGTGCGCGCGCGTCTGCGGTGTGAAGGGCAGACGCGTGCGGACTAGCACTCCGTATGCGGGCAAAGCTGTATCGCCGCGCTCCTTATTATACAGGGAACAACTTGGATATATCCCGGCTCGCGAAACGTGTCTAGAATAACGTGAGGGGTTTCTCTAACATAGCGCACGGTAATTGGCTCTCTCTCTCTCTCTCTCTCTCTCTCTCTCTCTCTCTCTCTCGCCTTCTACCAATCTCTCTCTCTCTCTTTCTCTCTCTCTCTCTCTGTCATGCTTCCATTCTCTCGCCTTCCTTCTGGGCTACTCTGAGAGTAATCGCTCACTCATTCTCCCCTCTCCTTTTAATCTCTCTCTCTCTCCCTTTTTCTCTCCCTATTCATCTCCCCCGCTCTACCTGGCCTTCCTTCTATTCTCACTCTCTCCTTCTCTCTCTCTCCTTCTTTCTTTCTTGTTTTCTTTTTCGCTCTCTTTTTCTCTCTCGGTCTCTCTGTCTTTCTCTCTCTCCCTCTGTCAGTCTGTCTACCCATTCATTATTTAGCACGTACAACATTACGCGCGCGTTTCCATCATAACAACAACGTTTACCGCCGCGCTACAGCCACCACTCCGCGCTCCCTCGCTCGCTTACAAGCAGGGGTTATATTAGGCACCAAAATAAAACACCTGAACATTGGTCAATCGACGGGGGGGAACCTCGGCGGCAACGACGCCCGCCCGCTGGGAGGGGGCGCCACCGCCTCCGCCTCCGCTCACGAACACTGCTGCCACGCGCAGTGGCACGGCGTCGCCGTCTCGACGGGGGCGCCACCTGCCGACGGGTAGTAGTAGTAGATCTGCTGGTAGAGCGGATAGACGGTCACCTGCGGCTGCAGGATGTGTCGCATCGGCGGCGCCCCCTGGTGTCCTCCGCCGCCGCCGTGCACGCTCGCGTCGAACTGCGCCAGCTGCTGCTGCTTGCAGTACGCGGCGCGGCGCTGCTGCTGCTGCAGCGTCTCGCCGCCCATCTGCGCGACGAGCTGCAGTATCTGCCGACGCTCGTGTCCCATCAGACACACGGTGCTGTCGTCGATGACGCGCCGCAGCACGAGCAGGTAGTCGCGTCGCTCGGCGTCGGCCGTCGGCGCGAAGTGCGACGCCAGGTACGAGTCGAGCTTGCGTCCCTGCGCCTGCAGGTCGGGAAAGTCGATGAAGAAGCGCGAGCACATGTAGCGCTCGAGCGAGCGTATCGCTTCGCGGTCGGCTGCCGCGTACCCCCGCGCCAACAGGAAGCAGTACTTCAGCAGGCCGCCGCCTCGGATCTCCTCGGGGGAACGCGTCGCGATGAGACGCTGCTTGAGGTGGCCTAGCGCCTCGACGAAGTCACCATACACGGACTCGGCGACGACGGTGGGGTAGAATTGCTCGCTCATCGGCACCCAAGCGTGGTCGTAGAAGGCGAGCAGCGAGTCGAGCACGATCTGGAACGAGTCGACGCTGAATTCGAACGCGCGTTGCATCGTGTCGACGAACTTCAGCTCGACGTGCTTGCCGGCGTTGTTGTTGAGCGAGATCAGCGACCACCGATCCCCTCCTCCGTTACCATCCCCGCCGCTCGCCGGCTGCGACACCCGCACCAGCTTCTTCACGTAGCCCTCCTTCAGCACGCGCGTGCTGATCTTCCCCGTGGCGACCCCAGCCGGGAGGAACTCTAACAGTGACCCCAACACCGCCGTCTTTATCCTCTCCAGGTCGCGCGCGTTCGACAGGTCGACGCCGAAGATGAGATCGAGGTCGTTGTAGGAGCGGTGGCGGTCGCCGGCGAGCACGTAGTTGGCGGCGCCGCCGTTGAGGCGGATGTCGCGCACGTGGATGCCGTCGTCGCGCAGACGCTCGCGTACGACCTGCGTGAGCCGACGCAGCTTGATGTGCAGCGTCGGGAAGTTGCCGCGACCGTGGATCGGCACCTCCTCCTCCATGACCTCGTCGAGCCGACGCACCTGCGAGCAGAAGAGGTGAGAGGGGCGCAGGTGAGAACAGGTGAGTAGGCAATTGATAGGTAGATGAGAGGACAGGTAGGTAAGCGGCACAGGTAGATGGACAGGCAGATGTAGGTAGAAGAGGTAGATGGGTGGATAGATGGATGTATGGATGGATGGATGGATGGATGGATGGATGGATGGAT